TACTTTTTTGAAATAGTTTGAGGAACTAGGAAAGGCGTCTTCTCTTTGGTCACAATATTCAATGTGGCATAGTGCCACATTATAAAATGAATACCAATAAGTTACATTACTTGGATTCTTTGGATGAGTGCAGTTGTAGAAAGAGTATAGTGTGCAACATGTGGGGAAACGTACTTTTCTCACTCGTGTGTTTGCATCACTCGCCCTTCAGGCTCGTGCCACAAACTTTCACACTCGTGAGAAAAGTTGAACTTTCCCCATTTGTTGTACAATATACTATTTCCACTCTAGTTTTACAATATGCAAATTGAATATCTGCAACCGGTTTCGTAATATTCTTGATTTTAACACGAATTTTCACTATCATACAGATTTTGGCCACTATCTCACTTGCTTGAGTTGCAAGACATTTAATTTCATTTGACATTCAATCACAACTCGTCGAAAGTACAAGCAACTCTATTAGTCTTCCATTGGTCTAGGATAAATAGTGAATGCAACGATCATGTAATGGCTATTAATACAATGATGATTGCATAATAGCTATTTATACAGGGTGTTTCCTTATTGAATGTCAATATTTGGAAAGGCGTTTCTTGGGCCCATTTCAAGAAGAAAATTTTATATGAACGTATGCCCTTAACGTCTTAACTTTTGAGATACAGGGTGGTAAAGTTCTTTTTTATTAATATCTGTAATACCACTTGATCTGATCTCTTGAACTGTTTCAGTCCGAATCACGGTTTCCACCTAAAAAAAATAGTATATTGTTTAACGAGCCTACGGCTCATGCAAACTTCATTCCCGTGGGAAATTAGCATTCTGTGCGAGTTAGGCACTATAATTTTTCTACGGCTGAACCAGGTAACAGCGACATTTTCGATTTCTTTGTCTTGTAGCCATCTACTTCCATTCAAGTAATGCTCATTTATTAGATGGAGCTGGCATTGCTTGACATTTGACATTCCATGGGCAATAAGATTTTTTTTAAATAATAACACAACATAGTGCGCAACTCCTTATCATTTTAACTATAATTCTGTTTTGTGTTCTATGTCACTTCAAAGCAAAACAGTCCTTGGTTTTTGACGTTATTGTCAAGAATTATTTTGTCGATTATCAATTGCCCTAATTCAACAAATTAAGACCCACATGCTGGTGCTTTTGAATATTTTCTTTGATTCAAACAATTTTTGAAATTTACGCTGGTATAATGTTCGTTCCCTAACAACTACCCACCGCACTATGCGCGGTTTAAAATAATTTCTTAGGTTAATTAAGTAATTTTCTTTTCCCACCAATAATGGTGGGTATGTTCAGACTTCAACAATACTTGAAAACTAACATAAGCGTTGCTTTCTTCCTACAGATTTTCTTCTTTTTATAAATTTGCTGATGATGAAGGATTAATCCTTCGAAACATGTCCTTCTGTCCATGCCCGTTAGTCATTATTAAATTGTTCATGTGGTGGAGTTGTGACTGTAAGTTCTTTCACCCCTCCTGATATATCGATATACAGGGTGATCCACGGTGGATGGCCTATTAGAAGTATCTGGAGAACGAAAAGACAGAACATTCTGAAAATTGAGATCCTTCGATAATTGAACATTCTCTATCCGTTTAAAATATTTTCATCGATACAGTGTTGCCACTTCTATTAGAAACAACCAGCAACTTTGTTATTTCTAATGGAACACCCTGTATTTTATTGCATTTTCAGATTCTTCCTGAAGAGCTGATTTCATCAATATGTCACACTTGGAGTCTAGCAAGAATGATTACAGAGATATAGGGTGTTCAAAATCGAGATTTTTCAATTTTAATATTTTTTTGTGTCGAAACTATACATTATCGATGAAAACGGCTTACATGTCCCTATCTTAACTTTTGATTCACTGTCCACTGGAATTTAATTGGAAAAATACAGGGTGCTTCAAGATTCAGAATTCTGATCACCCTGTATCTGTTCCAATTAAATGTCAGTAGACAGTGAATCGAATGTTAAGATAGGGACATGTTGATCGATAATGAATAGTTTCGGCACAAAGAAATCTTGACATTGAAAAATCCTGATTTTGAACACCCTATATCTCTGTAATCATTCCTGCTAGAACCCAAGTGTGATGCATTGATGAAACCAGCTCTTCAGGAAGAATCTGAAAATGTAATAAAATACAGGGGGTTCCATTTGAAATAACAAAGTTGCTAACTGTTTCTGATAGAAGTGGTAACACTGTCTCGATGAAAGTATTTTAGACGAATAGAGAATGTTCAATTATCGAAGCATCCTAATTTTCAGAATGTTCTGTCTTTTAGTTCTCCAGATACCTCTAATATGCCATCCACCGTGAATCACCCTGTATACGATGAGTGCATAATTTCCCAGATGATATCAGTTCATTGGAAAACGCTACTGTATGATATTTTTGATTCCGATGAACATCATAATATGAATTCCGAATATCGGTCGCTATATTATCTGAATTTTCAATCTCACCTACCAAAACATACTTATCTAATCTATGTTGACAACGATAACTAAATTGGATGAAAATTATGCATGTGCATACATAAATGAAGCGTGTGAAATTCCATTGAATACAAGTGGGCATATTCTGAATTGAATATTGAAATGAGCATTAATTTGCTTTATATTTGTGTTTCGCTTTCAGAACAATTAAAAAGTCATCACCGCCAAGTAGGTACGAACATTTGGAAAAGACACTTTTTGACTTTGTAGATTCGTATCGACCTCCCTTATATATAGTGAACATAATTTCCTGTTATCTCTGTTCGGTCTAGTTCACTCACTTTTTCGAATACGAGAGCCTAAAGTTTTCGAACCATTCCCAAACCTCATTGTCAGATTGGTCACAGTGAATCACGTGATACATTATGAATGCATGCGCATTCGCTCGTAGAAAAACTTGACATTTTTAAGAAGACCTTCGGGGTCTTCCGAGGAAGGAAAAACATCTTCCAGAGGCTGAATCACTAGTCAAATGATCAGTGGGCTGACGCCATGCTGTCAGTGGACCATAATGAAACTGCCTGACCAAACCCAACCTGCACAAACTCAGCCTGCACAATTTTATTGCGGAAAATTATAAAAAACACGAATGTCAACATATCACGTGATGGGAATGGTTCGAAAGATTTAGGCACTTCTTTTCGAATAAGATTTCTAGTTAAGTATCATAGAACTCGAACAATAGGCCTGTTCCTTTGTGCTTGCTCTACCTGCTGAACTTGATTTTTTTCTATGACTCTCTCTGTTTACATCATGCCATGAACAGAGACAACTATGGGAAAATAATCAGCTTTAGCAAGTTTAGCAATACAAACGAACAGGCCTAATGTGATCAGCTAATAGGGGAAACCGCTATGAAATGGACGGGTCTTGAAAAGGACAGTTGTCGTAGTTGCTATGTGTTTGTATGACCGCTTATTTCACATTCACATATGGCAACCCTGTACCCAGATCCCACTACGACCGAAATTGCGCGCCGACGCAGTTGATTATGAGTCGACAGCATGCATGTTAATATTATCAGGTGAAAATGTAAATTATTTGTGAAAATAGTGAACTATGTCACAGGTAAGATGTTGAAATTAAGTCAATTTCAGATTGATGAGATTAAAACTAAGTTACTCTAGTACATAAATGTAGAGGTAGATCTCGTGGAATATTTCACAATTTAATTTTCGTAATGTCATTTTGAGGTTAACCGTGTGTTGTTTTGAAGTGGACATCAGACGCTGTGTTGAAGCGGACGTCTGATTATCTGATGATGAGGTTCCGCTGAGTCAACATTCCCGACTTCCAAAATCTAAACCCAGCAATAAACAACACCAATTCATACCAAAGGAGAACAAAAACCCTAATACTCGAACCAAAGACGACAATACTGCGATTGAACATGGGCACATGAAACTTGTGGCCTTCAGGGTATTCGACATTTGTAATAACTGTTCCTAAGATAGCTCCTGTTCGAATAAAAGTTATTTTTGAAGCAATTAATGTTCTTTATTACGAATATAATTTTCAAAACCACTACTGTCCTCTTCAAAACCTTCACTGTCCGTTTCTATACATCGATGTTTTGAAATGGACGAAAGCAACTTTTTTCGAATTTGAATATTACTCAGACCATGAAGTTGTCTGAATTTTTTTTCAGTTTATTTTACAAACATATTGATGGAACTTTCCGCTCATGCATTTTTGAATAATTTAATGGTAATTTGCGTATTGGCCGTGTATCATTCAAGACGTTTCGTAATCCCGCTGAAAGATAAAATCTTGATTCCGAGAAAAGAACGAACCACGTACCTCGTAATTCTACAGAAAAACCCCAACATCGTGTTGTTATGGAAGAATCATCGGCCGCCGGCCGTTAAACAATCTTAACGGACAGAGGCTGTTGACATTAACATTTCAATTGTCATCTGAATACCGCGAATCAAAATAACAGTATGGAATTACGAAAAAAATAACACGCTGAAGTGATGTAACAATGATATTTGGGATAAAGCAATCAACCCGTCAACACAGTCTAGGTATATAGGCTCGTATTTATAGTCGCTCCTTGAGGTGACCTCGTCCCATAATATGAGCTCCAAGGAAGCCTCAAGGAAATGTCAATTCCAAGAAGAGTAAAGAGGTACCTTGAGCATTCCTTGATTCCATTTACGTCAAGTGCTGAGGAGTTCTCAAGGAATGCTCACATTAGAGTCACTGGATGGTATCTAACTAATACCATCTAGTGACTCTAGCTCGGATGAGGAAACCTTGAGGAGTTCTTGAGCAAACGACTGGCCTACGGCCCGTATTCACAGCCGTCATTGGATCAAGTGCAGTTCAGTGTTACACTTTTGGAACACACCTCATGTGACAACTTATCATACCATCCAGTGACTCTAGTGACAACTAGTGCCAAATGTAACGTAGCAATGAACATTGGAGAAGTGACTACTTGCCTACAGTGAAACGCTACTCGAAATGCATAAACGATTGCTCGCGCCATACCGTCCCATCTTGTCGTTCGTGCGCAGCTGTCGTCGATGCCCCACCTCGTGCAGGTCGCGCAGAGTGCCCTTCGTCCAATTCAACGACGGCGAGACCTTCCCCATCTTCGGTCTCGGCACCTGGAAGTCCAAGCCTGACCAAGTCTGCCGAGCAGTCCAAGAAGCCATAGACGTCGGCTACCGCCACATAGACTGCGCAGCGGTCTACGAGAACGAAAGAGAAGTGGGGGCGGGCATCAAGGCCAAACTGGACGACGGTACGGTCAAAAGGGAGGAGCTGTACATCACCAGCAAGCTGTGGAATACGATGCACCGGCCGGAGAAGGTCGAGAAAGCTATCAAGGGTAGTTTGGAGAAGCTGGGACTGGAGTATCTTGACCTCTATCTGATACATTGGCCGTTCGCCTTGAAGGAGGGCTGCGAGTTGTTTCCAGTGAATGAGGACGGGTCGACCGCCTATGGAGATATCAATTTTGTCGATACTTGGAAAGCGATGGAAGAGGTTCGTTTACTTCACTATTTATCAACTGTATATGCAGCCTTGTTTGCTTCGGAACAGGATATTGGTAAAGGAGAAAGTGAAGTCATGTTCTTTCAACTGGGAATGGGCAGGAAACCTTGATAGTTTCTCATAAAGTAGGTAGATACGTGGGGGGGGGGGGGTTGGATGTGAATATGATACTGGCATCAGGGCCAAACATCAGACAGTTATAGGGAGTTACAGGTTAACACCTAGCTGTGGAATACGAATACTAGCTAGAGAATGTCCCGAGAGTTATCAGAAATTGTTTCCACAAGCTGGGACTGGACTATCTTGATCTCAATTTGGTATATTGGTCGTTCGCCGATATACCCATTTCATCGATACATGGAAAGCAATGGAAGGGGTTATTTCATTCTCCCCTCTTTATGAATTGTATAATTATGGGTAGCCTTATTCGCTCCGGAACGTGATGTTTCTGAGGACTAGCAGGTTTATATCTTGCTCGCAATTTCATCATACGAATTCCCTATGGCCTAGTTATCAAATTCACTAGGAAAAGGTGCAGGAAACCTTGGGCTTTTCACGTTATGTAGTTACATATCTGTGGGAGAGTTGAACGCGTTAAGGGGGATGGCATCAAAACCAAACAAGAAGATTGTAATAAGAATAGGAGCTGTACGTCACCAGCAAGCTCTGGGTTACGATGCACCGGCCAGAGAAGGTCGAGAGAGGAATTATTAGGAATAGTAGGTAATCTTGGGATAATATATTTAGGAAAGTTCCTCCAACAGAGGTAATTATATGCTCACGGATACCTGATGGGCAAACGAGGAGTATCAGAAAAGGACACCCATTAAGTCACGACAAAGAAGAAGACTAATCTTTGGTAGAAGTCCATGGTTTCTCAAAGTGTAGTGAAATAGTAACTACTAATAAATAATAATCGAAGTCATACATGTCCGAAACATGTACCAAGTAATTTGATCTGTTTATCCATATTGAAGTTTCGTGGATATGACTTCGAGTATTATCAGTAGTAAAGAAGAAGAATAATTACAACAATTGAATAATTGATGCAAATCAATCAGATATCAGGCTAGATAAGAAAATCAGAGTCAACGAGAATTCGATTTGGAGACATAATTTTCTAAAGCTGTAAGGCTGAACCATCATTCTGTCACTATAAGGTGAAGAGTTGAATTGGGGTCATGAGAGGTATTGTCGAGGGTATTGTATTTTACAGCTCCTGATGTACACTTCTTCATAAAAAAGTGTCGCGGTTGGACGGTGTAGTGGCACTTATTTGATTGCATCCGAGATTGCACCTGTGATTCTAGGAGCTGAAAACGTCTTTGTGTGATGTTCTTCTCTAAATACGAGTGTAACATATGTTTCCTAGGCCAGCAAGGCTGCCTTATACAGGGTGTTTCATTACTAATTAGACATATCTCAGCAATACAATCCTAAGCTCAAAATATGAATATTTAACCCAAATCACCTAGATGAAATGTGACTACTGTCTGAGTAACAGGTTGCTTCCTTCGAATATTTATAAATTATTTGTGCGTATAACTTTGAAACCAATAATTGACGGGAAGTATAGATACTATATACCCTACTAAATTATGTGAAATAAACGTTTCTGGCTACTACCAGAGGCGTAGACAGGGCCAAGTGACTGGTTGATTCTTTCCAAGTTCAACGCCTTTGGCGGAATTGCCATTTCATCACAATTTTTCGATTCTCCTAATGGGACAATTTTTTCCTTGTGAACATTTTTTTTTGTACCCTTACTACAAGGTTCACTTCGTAAGGTTTCTCCCAGTTTATTCAAAATACCTATCTGTATGTTCCAATGTATATTTTGTAGACGTTTTTTAATAAACATATTATTATTATTATTAATCTACGTAAATATCGTACTCTTTCTTCATAGCCATGAAATCTTTATTTTTCGGAAATTTCGCCAGTGGCGTTGAACCATAAGGGTGCATCTATTTGTAAAGATACCGGCTTCAATCGAACCAGAAGACTGTCTGTCGATTCAGCATGTACCAATCAGCGAGTAAACGATTTTATCCAGTTGATAATAAAGGTAATAAATCCAAGATAAATCAAATTGTTGACTCACCTAGAAAACAGGGAGAGGTGGCACAGGAAATATAATCACTTTTTATACTTTAACACTTGAATCGCAGATTCCCGCGTAACGATATTGTTCATGAATGTCGCATGACAAATTCTCTTTTTCTAATGTGTCGAAAAATCCATACACTCACAGCTCTGCTCGTATTGTCTTCTTCATTCCACTTTTTGTAGGTATTTTCGGTATCACCGATTTCATTTTGTTTATCCTCGACATAGGCGTAACGTAGGGGAAAGCAAGGGAAAAGGATATGGGTGCAGTCAAATTGACAATAACGTAAAATGCAAACTTGAAGCAAGATATTTGAACGTTATATGAGTTGAACTTAATATTATGTGTTAAATAATAAACACGCATGTTAATTCAATAATATTTTATGAGTTGGGTATTGGACGAAACAGACGTAGAATTTGGGAAGGATATAAACCGTACGTCCTTAGCCTCTGGTAGTAGCCAGAAATGTTTATCTATTTGCGGTTTTCAAGGCCATCTAGTGAAGTTGCGATAACTTAAAAACTGGAGGAAAACATGACTAACTTTCAATCTATGCCAAGAGTTCCACATCAGATAATGACCTTGAAAACCTCGAATCTTTTTATAATATCATAAGGAGGAGAAACGTGTTTGTTTGTTTGTTTTGTAGTGAATCGGCCCCGAAACTACTGGACCGATTTAAACAATCATTTCACCAATAGAAGCCGACATTATCTCTGATGAACATAAGCTACTTTTTACCTCGAGAAAATGCTTAATTCCTACGGGAAAACGGGTAATAGGGCAACGGGTAGTAAGAATGATTATCGTTCCATATACTTATCTTTTTCTCATAATATCTAAACGTCTGAACCGATTGGGTTGAAATTTTATATGGGTATTTCCAAGGGTATTTCGTGGTTTCCTGAATGATATACAAATATAATTATTCGACGCGGTCGGTGGCGCAGCTGTCGGTATGTCAACTACTACACGGCTTGACCGATTGGGTTGAAATATTTAATAATTTTAATACGTTATACAAAACAAAAATACAATAGATACTGATCGAGGTAATGAAAATTGGTGTAAGTATATAATAGTAGCTATAGGAAAGTACAAAAAAGATATATGAACTGTAGATACGCGCATAGCTCAGAACGACTGCAACAAATGTCTTTTTTTTAGTGTACACCAACCGTGCGAAGCCTGGCCGGATAGCTAGAGTTTCGCGAGACCAAGACCAAGACTGATCTGAAAAAATGAATGAAATCTTGGTATTGGTCTTGATGTTTCAAGACCAAGACGACACTGGCTCAGTCTCGGTCTTGGTCTTGGATCAAAATTGAATTATTCAATTGAAATATCCAACAGTTTGCATAAATATAATTGGTATTTCGTATTTCTCGGTCTATGAAATGGTCAATTTGTGCTTATAAAATAAGCGAAATGAATTTCTCCTTTCACCATGAGAATATAATTTTTGAGAAACATTAAATGAGACCCAAACAGCAAACAGGCCGACGCCCGACAGTGTTAAAAAGGGGTGGAACTGACAACAACACATTATCAAAATATTTCAATATATTTCAAATTCAAACCAAATAACTCTTGTAATAAATTTGTTTCTATCTTCAATAGGAGGAGGCATGGACCACTGTGACCTCACAACATAAGCCTATCTGTTTTGAACTTTGAAACTGCAATAGTGAATTTGAAAAATGTATTTCGGATTTTGAGTAAACAAAAATTAAAAACCTACCTTATGACAAATAAATAACTGAAATAAAATGCCATTACATTTTCCATCAGTTTCTCCCTAATATTGAGTGGATTTGAGTTCATTATTTTTCTTCCAAGAGCCTTGGTCTTGTTCTCGAATATCAAGTCTTGTTGGGAAGATTTATTAAGTCTTGGTCTTGGTCTTGTATCAAGACTAAGATAAGACCAAGACTGAACTCTTGGTCTCGCGAAGCCCTACGGATATCTAGTTTTACATTATTCATTAGTAGGGTGCCAAATATGACAATGATACGTGAATTGCAGATCTCAAAGTTTTAGGCAAAAATAATGTTTAAATTTTCAAATGAAACTCAGGCAAAAGGAACATCTTATCTATATATGATTTGGGTAAATTCTTCATATTTTGAGCTCAGGATTCGATAGAAATACTATCTTATTTTGTAACGTATACAAGTCTCGTGTAGCGTTGAACCATCGTATTTTTGGATGATTCTAATGTATTCAATTGACGAAAGTAGGTCCACAAGAACTGCCTCACCAAATCGATCGGAATATCGAATTTCAACAAGAGACAAACGGAGTGCATCCTGGAAAATTGCTCGATCAAACCGGTCACCAATCAAATAGAGCTGCACGCCTACCTGAACCAGAAGAAATTGGTGGAATTTTTGACCGGCCACGATATCATAGTCACCGCCTACAGCCCGCTGGGGTCTGCGGATAGGCCGTGGGCGAAACCGGACGAACCGAGGTTGCTGATGGACCCGCTGCTCCAGAAACTGAGCAAGAAGTATCAGAAAACTCCGGCCCAGATCTTGCTCAGGCTCTCCGTCGAATGCGGGTATAGATAGAGTCACTGGATGGTATTCGTTAGATAAGAGGTCGGACACAGAAATGACAACTATTTGTGTTTTTGAATGTTGTAACGAGACTCTTCAATTCAGGGGAAATCGAGGCGTGGTGGTCTCAGAAGTCAGAAAAACACCAGATTAGGATAGTCCGTTATATTGGTTCCTGCCGGCCACACGGCGTTAGTTTCGTGATGTTGAGATATAATTTTTGAGCTAAAAGACAATGCAAAATGAAGATCTAACCAAACTTATAAATAATCAGAATTCAAGCTGAACAAGACAATACGTTAACACTAATACAAAATCTTTAACGCCCTGTAAGTATAAAACATAATGCCACATTTCCCTGTTGACCTGACGAGTACGCACTGATGATGACTTAACAGTCGAAAGCGCTCTGCTACGAATATTGAATAAATTATTTTGCACGAAATACAAATCTTCCCTTCTTTGGTATACAGTCTGTCCAAGATAAGGTTGAACAGCATGGGGATCTCGAAAACGGTAAAAAGTTGCGCATTCGGAGGCTCATATCAAGAGCCTTCGAAAATTTTGAAAATTATTTCTAGTTTTTGAGTTATATCGAAAAAAGTGAATTTTTGGAATTTCTATTTTTTTTTTTCTCCATTATTATTAGAGATACAGCAAAACTGAGAATACTTTTTCATAGCAACTTTTGATGACGGTCAACGTGGTGATACCGATTTTTTCATGCGACGTTTCGTATTCGTGGAACCATCATCAACTTTTGTTTTTTAAATACGGACCTGATAATTTTTTCACAGATTCTAAAAGGTTTTTTTATTCTGAATTCAACCATGTATTATACAAGGTGGTTCATTTGTGTTTCGACCTATTTTTGGCCATCATCAATGTTTTTTCGAAACTCCAAAGGAAAAATGCCATCAGTTCCACTTATTTTGAAGGAAAATTAGTCAACACACTAATACCTCATCAACTGGTTCCAATCAAAAACCCATTTCATTTTGCGGAAACAAAAATTTAATCCATACAAATTCAGAATATGTCAAGCGCTAAAACCAGGCGATGACGAAAGGCGCAAGACATTCTGTGAGTGGTATACCAGGAAATGTTAAAATTTTGCAGATTTCTTTCGAACAATCATCTGGGCTGATGAAACCATGGTCACTAATCATGGTAGCTTCGATTGAAAAAATACACATTATTGTTCACGAGAAAATGAACATTTATACATTACAGCGAGACACCAACACCGTTTCGGCTTTAATATGTGGGTTGCAATCATAGGTTGCAATATTTGGTACACGAATTATTGTTCCTTCTATTTACCATGAAACACAGACTTCCGAACGTTATAGAAATTCGCTTGAGAATCATCTTGAGGAAGCTCTGGATCATTTACCGATTGCGGAAGTTCAGAACTCTGTTGGTTTCAACAAGATGGCGCTCCGGTACATAATTCCGTCCGTGCGTTTTTATCCCTTGGCCGGCGCGGTCGCCTGATTTGACACAGCTGGATTTTTTCTTAGGTGATATATCGAACTTTGTACACGCAAATAACTTTGAGGATGAAGAAGAACTAAGAGACAGTGTCTTCGAAGCATTCAATAGAATAACCCCAGAAATGCTTAGCAATGTCTTAGAAACAACTGTGAGAAGAGGATATCTTTGTTCAGAAAATAATGGTTATCATTTTGAACATTTGTTATGAATGTCTCTGTAGGTATTGTCAAAGTTAAGTTGTTAAAGTAATTCGTGTAAGAATTCATCAACAATTTGAAACGCTGCATTGATCGAATGATGTAGTGAAATATTTTTTATTCACTTTTCAGTATTGAATAACTAATCCATCAAGTTTGACACTAAATGATAAGAAATAAGTGGAACTGATGGCATTTTTCCTTTGGAGTTTCGAAAAAACATTGATGATGGCCAAAAATGAACCACCTTATTTAATACATTGTTGAATTCAGAATAAACAAACCTTTCAGAATCTGTGAAAAAATTATCAGGACCGTATTTAAAAAACAAAAGCTGATGATGGTTCCACGAATACGAAACGTTGCATAACAAAATCGGTATCACCACGTTAAACCTCATCAAAAGTTGCAATGAAAAAGTATTTTCAGTTTTTCTGTATCTCTGATAATAACGGAGAAAAAAAATAAAATAGAAATTCCAAAAATTCACTTTTTTCGATATAACTCAAAAACTAAAAATAATTTTCAAAATTTTCGAAGGCTCTTGATATGAGCCTCCGAATGCGCAACTTTTTCCCCATTTAAGCGACTTCGTATCTCCTACCGTTTCCGAGATCCCCATGCTGTTCAACCTTATCTTGGACAGACTGTATATTCACGTGCACACAGCTCAGCAACCCTCACTAAAACATAATGAGTATACACATACAGAAAAACTGCACAGGTTATTTGAGGCAAAGTAATGAAATATCGTCTAAAGAAAAACTCCACCTACCTAAAAGACAATGCAGGCAAAGAGGATATCTTCCCAACGAAGAGAATCCTTCTTCAAAACAAGAGCACTTTCAATTTACCTTGCAATTATTTTGGCTGAAACATCAGTTAGGCATAATACAAAGCCGAATACTTTTCTCTTTGGAGTCTTGATAGTAAAACCCTTGATACATAATGAAGACCGAAAAAAGTGGGTATTTAACGTCCGAATAAGTAAATTCGCAAAACCCATCCGCGCGGCGGAGGCAGCTAATTTTTATCACTCTACGCTTCGCGAACGGAGATGGTACAAAAAGGTAGGACCGATAAGAAAAACCCTATACTGAGTGAATAATTTTTACACGACACGACATATTAAAAAGATGGCAACGGAGTGTGTTCGCTACAATGTTTAGATTTATTAAGATACGCACCTTGCATTGTGACAAGAGCACCATAGTCGTCCCGCGCTTTTTCATTCTAAATAGTCAGAATTCAGAAAAAATCATTAATCAAAATGTCCTGCTGTCTAAAGAATTGTTGGAATTCTGAAGTTAACGGATTTCATTTATCCGATTTTCCAAAGGAAATATCAACCATTCTCATAATATGGAAGGAATGAATGAACGGTCTGGATGGAAAATTAATTTTAAGACAAGCAAAATTTGTGAGGTACATACATTAAAATTCACTTCTTATGACAGCAGATTAGAATGAATCTATGATTTATACCCATTTTTGAACAGAAGATTTTAAGATGCGTTAGAGAGAATCTGCTATTCCACCCATTTACAAAACAGACTATTTAAAAAAATCTTTCATTATTATCACACGAAATGCAAAACAAAATCATCATGGAGGAAGAGGAATTGATTGCAAAAGTTCCTAATGAAATCGAAAATTTGAGAGCGAAACTGAGGAAATGAAGTACATTGCAAAGTGATATACACTGTATCCAAGATTAGGATGTCGATCATGGAAATCGTTTTTATTTTTTTATGACGTTAATTGAAGATTTAGGAAATCAGCAGACACTTTCACTTCCTCATTTTTGAAGCTCTACAAAATAGCGTTGAGACATTTTCCGTATACGACGCTTCGTTTCAGAGAAACGATCATCAACTATACCCCATGATAGACATCCTTATCCTGTACTCACTGTATATCATTGAATGGCGTTTTCAATATCGACGGGACTAGCTATATTAGTATATGTGTCTGTTTTGTAATATTTGATTGATTGTCGAGTTGATTGTCTTTGTTCCCCAAGAAACATTATTCCTCGTAATAGGAATATATACAACAAAACATACCTACATATAACATAATAAATCGAAGCAATAACAATTGCACAATTATTGTTTTTCATAAAAAATTATAATAAAATATAAAATGAAAATATTAGAATCCTTTACAAGTAATCAAATTGTGAATGATTAGTGGATATGGAATTAAAGTTTAGTGAGCAGATATTTCTTTAATTTGATTTTAAATTTTCCTGCTTCTTCTGTATTCTTCAACTCATTAGGTAAGGAGTTACTACTCATAATCATTTGTTATTAATAAATTAAATTGCCTTGTTTCATGGGCGTGAATCGTATTAACTTCATTAAGATTCAAATTTGATATTTTCAATTCCTTCCTGACAAAATGAATAAAACAACAAATTTTGAGTTTATATAATGAAACTAGATTCAGCAAGTCTTTAGGTTTGTATAGATTCACAGTTGATTCTAAAAAAGGTAAATTGAAAATGCACTTTGTTGTTACATGCATTCTCCTCATTTTTAAAAATGTTGTTCGGCGAAAAGTGCTTTATCGCTATAAATTTCTATTTTCCATCCACGGCTATGATTGATTTGACAGAAAATGTATCTGACAATCAGGCGCTATTAGGGAAATTGAAAAGACAAAGAGCAGAATGTATGTATTATTATTTTATCCACTCAAGCATTGTTATTTAGAAAATAAAAAAGGACAGAAGTTCAGCTGTGTCCGAACTCTTATCTACTATAATACCATCCTGTAACTCTGGGCATAGATACTGTAGTCACGGCTGTCTTATATAAAACGCCACAAGTTGTAACTCTTTGATTTTTCATCCGATTTCGAAAGATTGAAAAAAAAAAACAAATCAATGATATGGAAAACAGCAAGCTAGTAGAGATGCAAATTTTGTTGAACATCATCATTAAGAATTTGATTTCTCGACTATGGGCATTAACAACAATTCCACAAATAGTAGCATCTAAAATTTTTTCAACTCCAAAACTTTCAATTAGGCTGAAGATGTTCTTTATAAGACCGAAACATGCCCCTTATGATTATGTAGCAACTACATTGAAATTTGTGAAGATGACTTCGAGCATTGCTTCCTTTCTTTGAAGTTGTTAAATTTAGTGATGATCGAGGCAAAATCATCTATCCCACTTCTGGAAAAATTCCTTTGATGATATGTATTCGTTCCTATGCCGAAATATACTCCCGTTCATCATAATTGGGATACCTGGATATATAACTTTTTCGTAATCCAATGTATGTACTGTTCCATAACA